CTTTGGCTGACTATTTAACCTCTCTGATCTATCAATGTCAGCAATAAAGCATGCCTCCTGTGGTCACTGAAAGGATTCTAAGAACATAACAGTGCTAGCATGGCACTGGGAATGAGACAAGGTGTGACAAATAGCAGTTCTTGGTCCCTTTATAGACGTCAAATATTCTGATTTTATTTCTCAAAGTTCAAAAAAGAAATCGCTTTTGAAAGTGGTGGCCTTCGTGTTAAAGCATTATCAGGTATCTATCTAATTCTCTGATCATTCATTTGTTTATTCATTTAATTACTTATCTACTGAGCTTCTAATATCTTTCAGGTCTCCTCCTATTGCAGGAGCATAGCTGGGAGTGAGTTGACCACCCTTGGCTTAAGGAGTTAGTCTAGTGCTCAGGACCATTGTGCGATGGGGAGAGCATCTAACTCCAATTTCATTTTAGCTAAAGAGCAAACATTGCCACTGCTCTTAAATTCTTAATAACATTCTGGACATGTATGTGCCATTTCTCTAAATAAACTATAAGATAATCTATGACTCTATACTTTGCTTAATACATCCTAAAAATACTGTTTTTGTCTTGGTGATTGGGAGAAACACTGAAGGATAGAAAAGAACGTGGTCTTTCTGTTTTCCCAGTGTCTGGCAAGTGTTTTTTGGAACCCACACTTACCGGTGTTCATGTTCTGGGATTCATCTCTTGAGACAGATAAAGCGTCATGGTGTCTGTGCAAGCAAACTGTGGCACTTCTTTCTCACCTAAGTTGGTGTCAGCTGTCAAGTGAACATCGAGGCACCCTCCCATATTAATCTCCTGCTCCCATGATACCTTCAAAAGCAAGGATGACATTTCAGCGGTTAATTAACGTTTCTGCATTTGGAAATTTCTGACCCATAGCACATGATCAATGAGGGATAATAGATTTTTTTTTTTGGTTTTTCGAGACAGGGTTTCTCTGTAGCTTTGGAGGCTGTCCTGGAACTCACTTTGTAGACCAGGCTGGCCTCGAACTCACAGAGATCCGCCTGCCTCTGCCTCCCGAGTGCTGGGATTAAAGGCGTGCGCCACCAACGCCCGGCTTGGGATAATAGCTTTTAAAAGTCCATGCTTCTTACTTCTCCCAAATCAGGGGTTGAATGAACCACTGTAAAATGTGCTGGGCTCAGATGGTCTGGGTAGATTAGCGTCTGATGCATTTGGATCAGGTCATGCTTCAACTGGAGACTGGGGGAGCCTAGGCCATCTCAGTTAGGATGACTGGTGCTCCATATGTCTTTTCAGTGTTGATGGAGTCCCCTGGAGAGGAATAGATTAATAGTAGAACACTTCATTTGTTTAACAACACCAAGAGGCACCTTGAAGAAACCTCTCTGGTAGAAAGGCCCACTTGAATACAGAGGCAATGAAGAAAATAGATGTTCTGATCCCTCTTGTGCATTCTGTAGAAACGATACAACCTTTCTTGTGGACGTAACTTGGCGGACATGTTTTTGTTTGTTTGTTTGGTTGGTTGGTTGGTTTTTGGTTTCTCAAGGCAGGGTTTCTCTGTGTAACTTTGGAGCCTGTCCTGGAACTATCTCTTGGAGACCATGTTGGTCTTGAACTCACAGAGTGAGTTCTCTGCCTCCAGAGTGCTGGGACTAAAGGCATGCACCTTCTGTGGGATGTAGCTCAGCTGGGAGAGGGTTTCCCTAACATGCACAGAGCTCTGAGTCCCAGCTCTAAAACAGCATAAACTGGGTGTGGTGGCACTGAGAAGTAGAGACAGGAGTATCAGACATTCACGGACTGACCGCAGCCACACTGAGATTTTAATGCCAACCTGGGCTTCATGAGACACCCCCCCCCCCCGTCTCAAAACTAAAGGGAAACATGGCAGGGGTTGGGGGATACGCAGCTTGGTGTAGAGTGGTTGATGAGAAAGTACAAGAGAGAGTGTGAGAGGAAAGAACGGTAATGTGAATGAAGAAAAGAAGGCTCAGGGCTTCAGAGGGCTGACTGCTCTCTCAGGGGACCTGAGTTCAGTTCCCAGCACCGGCACAGGGCAGCTCACAAAGGCCTGTAGCTGCGGTTCCAGAGAATCTAACGCCCTCTGGATACGCGCACGCACGCACGCACACGTACCCACACGTACGCAGGCACGCATGCTCATCCGATGGCCACCTGGCCGCCGAGAAGGAACCCCGAGTCCCGAGTCTACCCCACTTCCTAGACACAGGTGCGAAGACATGAATCTTTAAACATGGAGTCGTGTCCAGATAGAGCAACCTGCAACCTGCACTGACCGCAGCCTCTCACCTGGGTGGGAATTAGACATGAACATCGTGGCAGAGGCAGCCTTCCCCGCCCCCCCCCCCCAGCCTCCAGCAAGCAAAAAAGCGGAACTTGCTGAGCGTCTGAGCATCGGGGACAGATCGTATCCAAACCATTAAGTGGGCAGGTAATACGATGTTCAAACATAACTGGATTCCTTAGCTTCAATCTCTGAAATCTCTCGGGGAAGAGAAGGAAAAAACAAAACAAGAGCCTGTGTTTTTTTTCCTTATCTGTTCCCATGTCTGGGTTGTCAGAGTTAGCAGCAGGCTCTGCGGTGCAGCCTGGGTTGTGTTCTCCATTGTGTTCTCTCTGTGAAGAAAATTACATCGTGAAAGGGAAGGGGGTGGAGAGGAACGGTACATCCTAAGCAGTCTTGGGGAGATAATTGCAGAGTCTCCTTGGCGGGCTCTCTCCTTCTTCCCCCTCCCTTCCTGCCTCCTCCAACTGTTCTTCTGCATCTAGGCCCTGGCACTAGGCCTGCCTCACCACCGCGGCTGCAGACAGACCGGGATGCTTGCTCAGTCAGCTGGGGCTCCCTGACGGTGAGCGGCCAGCTGCTTTCCTTCATCCCAGGGCAGGATGGCATCCACGAACTGCTGCTGCCCGTGAGGGTCACTCAGACTTTGTTCAGGAGCGATAGGCAGTTTTGTTATTTCTGTTGGTTGACTGGGTGATTCGTTCTCTGCAGGGCATGATTTGACTCTGATGTGATTATTTCAGGGTTCCCACACACGTGTTGGTCACAGCACATCAATTCACCCCTGCGTTCAAAAGCTGCCCAAGCATCTGGATTCCCCATTTCCTTTAGAAACCTTAACCATCCTGGGAGGTGTTCGAAGCTTGATTTCCACCTTAGAGGGTGGGACTCTGCATCTTTGGGAGTGCAAGTGTTAGCTTGTTACTGAGATAAACACCATAGCAAAAAAAAAAAAAAAAAAAAAAACTTAGGGGAGGAAAGGGTTTGTCTAATCTTACAGTTTATAGCCCATCGTGGAGGGAAGTCAAGGCGGACACCTGGAAGTCATAACTGAGGCGCAGGTCAGAGAGGATTAGTTCTTACTGACCTGTTCCTTGTGCTTGCCCAGGCTGCTTTGTTGTACCACTCAAGACCACATGCCCAGGGGTGGCACTGGCCACGGTGGGTTGGGCCCTCCCATGCCAATCATTAATAAAGAAAAATGCCCCAGACTTGCCTAATCTTGCAAACGCAATTTCTCAATTGACGTTCCTCTTCCCAGTTGATTCTAGTTTGTGTCAAGTGGACAAAAAAAAAAAGCCTACCAGCACAGGCTCCATACTCTATTTCATAATGTACTCAGCGACAGAGCCAAGAACTTGAGCCTGATCCTGCCGACTTCTGCCCTGATGTTCCTGTCTCCTGGAACTGGCAAAAGGCAGTAGGTATCCACAGCGTCTCTGGATACTCCTAAAGTGAGAGAAACCTTGCCTCCATTGTTTCTAGAAGAGGAGAGTGGGCTCCTTACAAGTGACTTGCTTCAGGAAAGCCAAGATTTTCCCACTTGCAGAGCACCTCTGCAGTTGTTCTTGTTGTGGACATAGGACATAGGTCTGCCAGTCGGCTAACGGGTGCTAGGAACTGAGGATCATTCTCTCCTCCCCCGTGACCAGCGTGGACTAGCACACAAGAAAGAAAAGGGGAGGAGTGGGGAGGAGGGGAGAGAAGAAAAAGGAGGAAAGGGGCTGGGGAGGTAGCTTAGCCACTGCAAGCGTGAGAACCTAACTTCAGTCTCTGCTGTTCAGGTAAGAAGCTGGCCACGGTGACACTTCTTTGTAATCACAGAGAAGAATCGACAAGTGCATCCTTGGGGCTCACTGACTGGCCAGCATAGCCTAAGCAGTGACTTTCCTAGTCCTGGTGAGAGACCTTGTCTCAAAATTCAAGGTGAACTGCTCTTTAAGAATGATATTCAAGCCGGGCGTTGGTGGTGCACGCCTTTAATCCCAGCACTCGGGAGGCAGAGGCAGGCGGATCTTTGTGAGTTCGAGACCAGTCTGGTCTATAAGAGCTAGTTCCAGGACAGCCTCCAAAGCCACAGAGAAGCCCTGTCTCGAAAAAACCAAAGAAAAAAATGATATTCAAAGTGGATTCTGATTTCCATGTGCACACAACACAGACACAGACACACACACCAAAAAGAAGAAGAAAAAAAGCATTGTTTCCTTTCTTTCCAGAGTTTGGGTGTACCTGCTGGCTTTATTGGGTCCATATGTCCCCACTCACTATCAGCTCAGGCTTACAGACGTTAAGTCACCAGACTTATGCAGGTTAGGTGGATCTCCTTTCTCCATCCACATCAGCAGTTATCCAGGTTAGTCCCTGGACCAGTAGCATCACTTGGGAATGTGGGGACAATGCAGGTGTCCAGTTTCCATCCCGGAGGTACTGAAATCCAAAGCTCTGACACTGTGGCCCAGCACTCTAGGCTGGTCTTGAACCCTCAGCCCTCTCAGGTCAGCCTCCAGAGTGCTAGGAGTCCAGGTGTCTGCCGCCATCTGTATCATCCCTTGGTGACTCTAATGCATCCGGAGAGTAAGGGCCACTGCTTGGAAGTCCTCTGCAATGAGCAGTTAATAACAAACTCCGTTGTGAATTAGCGCACCTTTTAAACATTTGTTGCTTTAACTGAAGACTATTCTGAAAGCAGTTTCTATTTTGACCTTGGAAAAGGGAGACGCCAGGAAACTTGTGAAAATCTAATCAGCCACGCGAAGTATGCTATGCTGGCGTTTGGTGCCTGGCACAGAACGGTAGGTTGGGGCTGTAAGTCCAACGTGTGAATGAGAAAGGAGATACCAAACCCCTTTGCTTCCTTTCCTTACTGTTTCCTGCTGGGGCTAAGAAGGAGGGTCCTTTCCAGCTGTCAAGGCAGAGTGGGTTAGCCATGCCAGGGCTAAGAAGGAGGGTCCTTTCCAGCTGTCAAGGCAGAGTGGGTTAGCCATGCCAGGGCTAAGAAGGAGGGTCCTTTCCAGCTGTCAAGGCAGAGTGGGTTAGCCATGCTAGAGATACCCTTGTCCAGAGGTCACCTCTGTCCTCATGGGAAACAACACAAGTTTCCTCAGAGGCGAGGTGACTCAGCAATGGCCACTAGTACACGTGTGTGAATGGATAGGCAGTCGGGGCAATTGTGTCACCCCCAGTGTGCCGTGGACCTGACCGTCGGTCAACTTTAGAAGATGACTCGTCTTCCTGGCTGCATGCACGGGCTGTCCTGTAATGAGAAGAAAATGCTGCCAGAGGCCGGGAGGTGAGGGAAATTAACTTTTGAGTGATTTGTGTGTGTGTGTGTGTGTGTGTGTGTAATTTTTTTGTTTGCTTGGTTTTTGTTTGTTTGTCTTGTTTTGTTTGCTGTGTGGCTTTGCTAATGTCTTCAAGACTTTTCTTGAGGAGAATGAGAGTACCATAAAAGCACTTCTTGAGACTGGGGAGATGACTTGGTAGGGAAAACACTTGTTTTGTAAGCATGAACGTTTGTGTTCGAATCCCCAGCGCCTATATAAAAGTTGAGCACTGTATGCTGTTTCTGCAATCCCAGCCCTCAGGTGGCCAGATGAGAGGCAGGAACAGGAGAACCACCAGAAACCCGTGAGGCAGTCCCACCCTCATAGGCCACATATGCTGCAATGAAAAACAGAGTGACCCATCTCAACAGCGTGCAAGTTAGGAGCAACGCTGAAGCTGTCTGACCTTGACAGGTGTGCTATGGAGTGCACACTCGCACACACGCTGACACACACACACACACACACACATGCATGCACGCACGCACACACACACATTTTAAAGTGCTTCATAACTTTTTCAGCTTCAAAACACACAGCAGCCAAGTATCTCCGGCAAGTCATTTAATCCAGCCTGACACAGCCTCATCTCTTCTACATCCTGTATCTGAGTGTGCTGAGAGAAATGGCCCCCTTCCTGACATCACTCTCCCCACCCCATGGGTTTATGTCCCTGGGCTGTGATTTCTTTCCAGCAATCATGGCCGGCAGCTTTACTGTCTGGCTGTCCCTGGGTTTTAAAACCTTTTCTGGTCTTCATATTACAGCTTTCATTCCATTTCTGCTTCTCCCTCCAGAATCCATCTCTTTTCCAGGTGCCCAAATATTAGTGAACTTCAAAGCCTTTGCATTACATGGTCACACTAGACCCTACTCCCTTCCCAGTACCAGAGTACTGAACCATTTTGGCATGAGGAAGAGAGGTTAAAAATGTTAAGAAAGAAGTATTGGGAACATTGCATATGCAATGACACAGATATATGAGAATCTATTGTTAGAAACAAAGAGTGTCAGTTCTTACATTTACAATTACATTTTATTATTATATCAGCTGTCCCACCATAAGGATAATAATGAGGAAAAAGGTGAAGATACAATTGAGAGTAGCAGTTACAGAGTTGAGTAGCCAAGTAAAGTTGGTAGCCGTGGAAACGGAAGGCGCATAGGGATCTAGAGGAAACAACAAGAAATGCAATGAACTATTCCAACACCTTCATTCATTACACATGCATTATATAACTACTAGAGTGTCTTGGGAACTCTAAGCAGAAATTTGTGGGCTAAATGTTGGGAAACCAAGGACCATCCAGCCCATCTTCAGTGACCCAGCACCAGCAGACACATCATCACCAGCCACCAAATGCGACACAGTCCCACTGTTGTCATGAGTTGAATACTCTCCCTGGGCACAAGCATTATGCCCCCTTCTGAAGCCCATGCCTTCACAGCCTGCTCTCTTTGTTATAATCCAGGCAAACGTGGCTCCACCCCTTGGGGACCTGGCAGAGTGTGCCACTTCTGTGCATAACAAGCAGTACCCTGGTTTTGTATGCAGGTGCAAAAGGTCTTTCTAAGAGACAAGCTCTGCCTCCTCTCTCTCTCTTTCTGCTGTTTCTAAGGAGTCAGCCCTGTCTGTTTCTGTCTCTGTCTTTGTCTCTCTTCACTTCCCTTACTCTATTACCTTCCCCCAATAAACTTTCCACGTAAGTCCTGCCTGATGGCATATTTGTCTCTCACCTACTATGGGACACTTCCAAGGTCCCCTGGAGTCACATTATTACACTCTTTCTCCTCCTTCCTTGCTCAGAGGCAGCCTTTGTATACCCCTCCCCAGTAAATCATTCCCATGAAGTTTGTTGCATGACGTGACTCTGTGGCATCCCAAGGTACTCTTCTGATGTGAATTTGAAACTCTAAATACCTAGTGCCTACCTTCATGTAGATATTGGGCTAAAGAGAAAGGGTGGTTGGGCATTTGAAAGAAACTAACATGGCCTGGGCCAGGTTTGAAGTGAGGTGGGGGAGGAAAATGAACTCAACAGAGGTCCCAGGGCTCTCCAAGTGTGTTTCTGACCAGCCACGATGCACCTTGTTAGGAAGGTACAGGCTAAGAGCTCCCTTAGAATTCCAGAGGAGTTACTTCTGCAGGGTGGGGGTTGCAGTGGAGGGGGGGGGATGGGTGTGTAGAGGTAGCAGTTCAGCGATCTGGGTTCACAAGTCCCAGAGGGGACGCTATCCTTGCCCAGCTGCAGTTTGGAAACCACCATGGCTACCCAGAAAGTAGTGGTAACTTCCCCCAGCTGGAGCTGGTTTAGAAAAGTTTAAGACTGGAGGAAGTGACCTATGAGCCTCATCTTCAAAGGAAGAGTTCCACAGAAAGACGAGAAAAACAGGCAGGAACATTCCAGGAATTCCATGGGTTTGTGTTCTTGAGTCACAAGACAATACCTCCAAACCTCCTATTTTCTCAGTGGATTTGGAACTAAATCCAAGGAAATGATGTATACACAGCATTATCAGGAGGAATTAAACTACTTCTCCATTTTCTCCCCAACCCATTTATTTTGGCAGTACTGGGAGATGAACCCAGGACCTTCTACATGCTAGGCAAGCATTCTGCCCCTGAGCTACAACCTCAGTTGTATTTGCTGCATTTTTTGCAAGCAATCTCAATTCCCTTCAGCTAACTCCTAGAATCAACCAGAGGTTCATACACATAAGCATTATCCCTTGTTTCAGAAAGAGAGGGATGTGGGAAAGTGACTAGTGGAGCATGGTGCGAAATACAGAGATCCAGGTGCAACACTATGCCACCAAATGTATATGCACTGGATGCTATAGACAGGCAGGAACAACTAGAAACAGCAGTGTGAATCTCAGGGGAAGAATTCAGGGGGTGGGGATAGCAATAGGATAGAGAGACCTTTGGATGGGTGCAACCTCATACTGTTTTATTTTTGTGCATTGGGTTAGGAATTCAAAGAAACAGACACAACATCTTTATGATACATGAAAAAGTAGAGAGGGAAGACTCCCTTCTCACAGGCTGCATCGTCCAAGATTCGGGGTCATCATCAGGGTGGTGATGAGACAGGGAGAGGTGCGCCATGTGGTGCTGTCATCACCATTTTCGGTACCTATTTTTTTTTCTAACAGGATGTGCTGTGCAGGTCAAAGCCCTGAGCCAGAAGTGAGAAAAGCTGCTCTTCAAAGTACAACCTCTGAGTTCCTGGAATTCAGAAAATGGTCACTGAAGAGGAAGGTCAAAGTTAGGTACAAAAGATGGAGGAGGGACCTTAGCAACCACTGTGGTTGTAAGGGGGTTCACTGTGACCCCATTCATTAAAAGAACAATTGGCGGTTTCGGGCAGCTGAGTGAGAGCAGAAGGGAAGCCAGACAGACTTAGAAGGGGAAATACTGGCCCGTGCCTCCAACCAAAAAAGGTTAAAAAGAAAAAGCATATAGGTGCAAAGAAAGATCTGAGCACCCTCAATAAAGACTTCCTCCCCATTTCTTTTGTCTGCTCCAACTTCCCCAAGACCCAGGAAGAAAAGACACTTATAGTTATAAGGTGTTGATTAGATGTTTATTAACACCTTTTATGGCAGCCAATTTTTTACAAAACCCATCCAGGAAGACAGACCATTCTCATAGGTGAAAACTCAGACACCAAAATCTCTTCTGTACTGGTTTTGTGCTATGCTGAGCTAAGCAGAGACCTACACTCAAGCTTGGAAATCATTCCCATTTGGGCTAACTATATCCCTCGGGCCAGACCCCAGTATCTGAAATCCACAAATAAAGGCAAGAGAACAATTTTATTGTGGTGGTTTCTAAGAAGACAAAGAATTCACTGAGGAAATCCTGCTGAAGACACAGTAAGGATCCCCAGGATTTATCTGCTTGACTAACTACAGTCTGCATTTACTTCTGTAAAAATACTGGTTTATCAACTCCATGTACTTGATTGCAATCTCAGGCCTATTCATCACAGGAGCTTTCTGTTTGCACATTGCCCAATTGCCAGGCCCACATAGCTCCCCACTCCAAGAATACTACCAAGGTAAAAGTTTATTTGAAAGGGATATGACCTTCTCTGGGGTTTCAAAAAAGCTTACAGAGGGCTTTTAGGTGAAAGGCACCTTAACTCAAATAAGAAATGGCGTCTGTGGGACTTTGTTGCTGAATCATTTAGTATGCTTATGCTACAGAGGTGGCTAATAGAGAGTTGCAGCCTTTATATGACTTATAGCCAGCAAAGGGACAGACATATGTGAGTACAATGCTGAGAGATAACTATAACTCAGATGTTTCAGCAAGTATTAGGACCAGACAGAGGGCAGTGCTTGAGTCTTCCTTGGACTGGCTAGGGAAGTAGGGGTGGGGAGTAAGAGAATTGTCAGAAACTCTTAAAACAGATGCACCCAGTACAATGTAGAGGGTGCACCCCAGGCTGAAGAGGGACAGGAAGAACAGTTTTAGAACCCTCAATATTCTTTATGTATGAAATACTCATGGAGCTGGAATTTGTCTCAAACCGCTGCCTACTCATTTTCAATATGTCTTTAGATACCTCATTACTAACTTGCTATATAATTTTAAGATGTCTTATCTGTCTTCCAGGATTTCAGGTTTCAGATGTAATTCATATATACTATAGGGGAAAAGAAAAAAATGGAGAAGGAGAAGGGAGAAGAAGAAGAGGAGGAGGAGGAGGAGGAGGAAGAAGAAGAAGAAGAAGAAGAAGAAGAAGAAGAAGAAGAAGAAGAAGAAGAAAGAGAGATCATTTTCTTTGTATGTAAATCAAGAAGGGTTGCCACTCAGCACAATTCAGCTACAAGCTGGATTTATTATAAACTACTGGGTTTCTCTCAGTTAGAACACACGTGTTTGACTCAAAGTCCACAGAGGAAATATTTTTAGGTTAGCTCCATGATGCCTAATGTTTATTTTTGATCTATCTATGTTCAGGATCTTATGAAAAGAAATAAAATTGAGAAGGTCCAGGGAACTGAGGGCAGCCAGTCTTGGTAGTATATATTGCTAGAATGCTAGAATAGTGAGAGAGCCAACTGATGGAGTCGTCACCTAGGCTGCACTGTTTCTTATACCTGGACTCCTTGCCAGTTCCTTCTTTTATTAACCAGACCCACTTCCAATAACAATTCATTCTCCATTCCTTCTCTAACCTAAGACAAGGAAATTCCTATCTGTTTCTCAGTATCAAATGCTTCCTTCATTGTAGTCTTCACATTCTGAATTGATGTTTTCTTTTACATCTCTTCCTAGGACTGCATGGTTCATCAAGATGGTATCGTGTAGTTTCTTGAATCCACTGACTTTTAGAGACCAGAACATGCATGATCCTAATGTCCATGTCGGAGGACATGGAGAAGAAAATATTAAATATGGAGAGTGAACACATGAATGGGAAATGAGATGTAGGCAGTGATGGGCTATTAGCCCTGAATAGTCAGGAAGACAAAATGTCCATGACATGAAAAATGTATTATCACAGGATTCTACTAATATCTACATGGGTATAAGGGAAGACAGAGGTAGTTCCAGGAATAGAAATACTTAAGCACTCACTGAAACTTCTCTTGGTACATATCTCCTGGTGGAATTTTGAAAAATTGAGAGAGATTTTTGAATAATATATTTTCCTATGGGATCAAACAACATAATCCACTTATACCTCTAACAACTATCCAAGGGTTATTATAACAGTTGATGTTTTAATGTTGTAATAAGACACAATGACCAAGGTAACTTGCAAAAGAAGATATTTAATTTGGGGCTTATAGTTCCAGGGTGATAGAGTCAGTGGCCATCTTGGTACAGAGTGTAGCAGCAGACAGACAGCCATGATACTTGACCAGTAACAGAGAGCTCACTTCTAGAGACGCATTAATGAGGCAAAGAGACATTAGAAATGACATGTGTCTTTGAAACCTCAGCGCTCACCCCCAGTGGCACATTTCCTCTGATAAGACTACAATACCTATTCTTTCCCAAATAGTTCCACCAACTGAGAGTGGAGTATTCAAATATAGGAGCCTATAGAGGGAGAATCATCATTCTTATTTAGGCAACTGTGGCATCGAAACATTTCTATAATATGAAAAAAATAGAAGACAACCTATTTAATATGGGAGGTGCCAGGCTGAACTACAATGGAAGAATTGATATTGGCCTGACTGAGTCGCAGACACAAGTGAGAAAGTGAAAGAAAGTAATGGTGTGGGTTGTGATGACGATGACAAAGGCAATGGTGTGATGATGGTGGCGGCGGCGGTGGTGGTGGTGTTAACATCTCGGGCATCTCAATACCTGACAAACACTGTATATGTGTGGCCTCACTTGTTCTTTATAGCAGTCTTACTAATGGGCATTATTCTGGTCCCTAGCTTATAGATGAAGAAAATAACGCCAAAAAGTTAAATCATTTATTCAGGATACCCCCAGCTAGCCAGTGTCAAAGCCATGAATTAACCCCAGCTATGGACCCAAAGCTTAGCAAACCCTGCTGTTCTGCCATCTACTTTACCCCGTCCTCCACCTTGAAATAAATAATAGTAGCCTGGAGGCATTACTAAAGAAAAGGACATTTGGTCAAACCTGGCTCACTGGAAGGAATTCAAAATCATTCTAACTGCCCATAGGAATTCAGTGGGGGCTTGGAATGGGCCTTCCCAAACAGAACTTGGTTTCAGGGGAGATCCGATTACATGTAGAAAAATGACTCTGTTTCAAACATCCTATCTGATAATTCTACCTGTTCATCACACAGACTCTCACTTTCTTTTCTGTGATAAAAATACTCTGGCAAAACCAACTTGAGAGACAAAGGGTTTGTTTGAGCTCATAGTTTCAGGGTTGTCATCCGTTAGTGTGGCTTAGGTTACAGCAAGGGGACTCCGAAACAGCTAGTCACATTGTATCCAGTCAGAAGAGAATAATGAATGCATACCTGTCCACTCAAACTAAAGCAGCTAGTCACATTGTATCCAGTCTGAAGAGCTGACTCAGCTCACGTTCTCCTTTCTTACACAGCACAGAATCCACTGTCTAGGGAATGGTGCTACCCTCAGTGGGTGTGCATATTCCAGCCTCAATTACTGTAATCCTCATAACCCCTCACAGCTCTCAGAGATTCCTCCCCAACAGATTTTAGATATCTGTCAAGTTGATAATTCACACTAATCACTGATCCCTTCATTGCAAACCTGAGGTCACAAGATTTGCTTTCAAAATGTAATCATGAAATCCCCTGACACTAAGTGAGGTGCCTGGCCTACTCCATGAGATTTAATCTCTATGGTTTAAAGGACAGAAAACACAGCCATTAACTCCCATTTACCCAAAGTCAGTTGATGTATTAATAGCATCCTACAGCTAACAAAGGATGGATTTCTATATTTCTAAAGTGTATACTGTACCATGTGGCAGCACATGTTAGCTCAAATAAACCAGGGATGCCTTACAGTTTACAGAGCATTCTGGGGGCCATTCCTAAATACAATAAAATGCTCTGAGAGAAAGAATAGCATTGTCTACACTGGAGATAGAAACACTCTGAGCTATTTAATTATGAGTTCAAGGTTTCATAGTAAATAGGGAAAGGAATTAGAATTTGAGCTATTTCCTTATTATTCTCTCTCTGAGCTTCTGATGACTGGCCTGCCATGCACTTTTAGTCACATTTCTTTTCTAACCAAGTTAAATAGGCATAAAGAACTTTGGCTGCTCATTAGCAAACATTACAGAAGTACAGTTGGTGAACTGTCAGTATTTATTATATAACATACAAAATGGTAAGCTGACAGTTTCAAGGGTTGTGTCCAATTAATGTTTTGTTTTACTTGAAGCACAAATCTGATGAATTCAGTGATGAGCTCGGTGCTATTCTATTTGGTTAAGGATGTGTTTGGGGACATGAGGTAACCCTCTTCCAATTAGTCACTCTGCCAAGTCAAATAAAACTAAGAGCAGAGATATGAGGTGAAACTGTTTCTGGTCAGGATCTATTGTGTTTTCTCCCCTAGAACAAAGTCATCAGCTACTGTCAGGAGTTGTCTTTTTGCAAGCAATAAGAGCATCACTAAATGTTGCCATGCTAACAAAATGAGAGTCTTCCATAGGTAAGCCTCAGAGACTAATACTTGGCCATAGCTTGACATTCCTGAAAGCATTTAAAAGAATAGACTAAAGACTTGACCCCAAACTACCGGAGATGCCACAGGTTCTAGAGACCAGAGAAAGTCATCATGGAGCCAAAACACAAGGCCATTTGTTCAAGGATAGTCATTTATCTGTCACTGTTGTTGAACACTGATTAATTCTTACATGGGAAATGATCATTACTATAAAGCCTAAATCAGATGAGATTAAATGATCATAGGAAATAAGACAGTTGTGGTTTGGAAATCTTAATTATTCTGGAGGTAGGTGTCTATGCTCAATGATCCACTTGACCAGCTAGCATACACAAGACTCTGTGTATTTCCCTACCACTGCATAACAAACAAAATAACCCCAACCTCAGTTTTTATAGCTAGATACCTTGAATTAAGAAGGTTAGCCTCCGCTATATTTGGTTTCTTCTTTTTTTACAATGAAACATCATGATTAAATCATCATCTAAGAAAAGAATCCGTATCTTCCCAGAGCTCAACCATGTGGGGTTAAATCCCTTAGAACACAAAATTCAGATAGCTAAAAATCACCTTGACTAATCTCTAATATTGCCAAGGAATACCAATTCATACACTTTGCATATACAGCCTGCCTCAAGATATATACACAGTAGTCAATGTTTATGTAAAATATCACTCTAAAGTATCCTAATTTTATGAGACTATGCAGTTGAATTTACATAAGCCAAATGAATATATCAGAAAATTCCACTGTGAAAAAGAAGTTTAATGTTTATATTGTTGCTATCCTCAAGGTAGCAGATGCAAGATGATGATGAAGATGATGGTGATTTCTCTATTCATTGCTCTCTTCTACGTACTTGTGATGATTAATTTAACTGTCATTTTGACACAACCCAGGTCACCTGGAAAGGGAAAGTGAATGAGGGATTGTCTAGATCAGGTTGGTCCATGGGCATGTCTGTGGGGGATTGTCTTGATTGTTTAACTCATGTGGGAGGATGCAGCCCCATCCTCTCATTCAGGGGCCTGGATTTATCAGAGTAAAGAAAAATAGCCTGTACTAAGCACATATGTATTTATTTCTCTCTCCTTCTAACTGGTAAGGTGATGTGGTTAGTGATTCAAGCTCCTACATCTCTCACTTTTCCATAGTCACAGACTACAACCTGCAGTTATAAACTAAGAATATTTTCTTCCCTGAGGTGTTTTTTTTTGTCAGAATATTTTATCGCAGCAACAGAAATAAGAACAGTACAATACCTCTCCACTTCTATTCTTCACTGAAATGCTACAGTGTATCCATGTTTTACAGGTAAGGAAACAAAGATATGGAGACATTGAGTAGCCTGAGGAAGAACCTATAGTGAACTCAACACGTAGTCTGGCTCTGGTAGGTAACTGAGGCGTAGTTTATAGATGAACTAAAATTAACATTAATGCTTCATAAAATATTTTAATATGAGAATCTTAAAGAATCAATATGGATGATGGATGACAGATTGAGACAACACTTACTTATATTAAGAAGATAAAGAGCCAGAGAGGCTCCGAGTACACCTTGGCTGTGTTGGAGAAAGGCTGTTCATTGTAGGGTCAGGCGTTCAGAAATGATGTCTGAGTTTGAAAGTCAATTGCACCCCTGAAATATGAAGTGGAAAGTCTACCTAATTAAATGCTCAGAAAATAGAAGCAAACAAATACGTGCTAACTATATTATGTAAATTTGGAATATGGGAGCAGGTGACAGTGTCTTGTGGCATGTAACCAAGTACTGTTGTGGCTACCCTGGGAAAAGAAAGAAGTGACAAAAATAAGCCATGATGATACTTGCTGGGATTTGACATGGATCTCAAGGGTCCACTGTGGACTCTTAAACTATGGAGCACAAACATACATACTTCAGGGAGTACCAGCCCAGGCCTAACCCAACATGTTCCCCCATCAAACCAGCAAGACTACCCCTGCAGTAGAAACAGCTAAAAAAAACAAGCAGCTGGGCGCGTTGGTGGTGCACACCTTTAATCCCAGCACTCAGGAGGCAGAGGCAGGTGGGTCTCTGTGTGTTCAAGGCCAGCCTGGTCTACAGAGAAAGTTCCGGGACAGCCTCCAAAGCAACACAGAGAAACCCTGTCTCGAAAAAAAAAAAAACCAGTACTGCAGAGGTCATTTTTTGCACAGAAAACAAATGACTGAACAAATGTGTCTGTTTTCAAGATAAATCTGCACTTTCTAGCCCCTTGAAGTCTGATGAGAAAGTCTGTGCAGGAATAGTTGCTGATTTACATTTGGAACTCCTAGTCAATTGGGGTCTCCCAGAGAACACTTCTGCAGACTTTCTTCCTTTACACTTGCTTCTTTCTAGGATCATTTCTTTCCCAAACAGATTTTTTATGTACACTCTATTGCCAGCGATTTCAGATTTTACTACAAGGCATCCTTGATCTTTGGTGTCCAGAGCTTCCTTTAGTAGGAAAAGCTTTTCTCCCCATAGCGTTCTCTCCATGTATTCACTCCCTTTGAAGTAGATCCAGCAATATCAAACAACCTTGGTTTGCAAAAGCTACAATCAGTCTTGAACAAACAGAGCCTCTTGTCTTGAAAGGACCTGAAGCTAAGTCAAGGTTGGGGTAGCTGTGTGTTGGATGGTGGCACAGGCTGGTGAACCAGCATTCTGTAACTCTGCCTTCTTAGAAGTTACAGGTGTCAAGGGTGGGCACAGGGAGTTGGAGAGGGCAGGAAGAGGCAGGGGATCATGGGACAGAGAGAATCAATTAGCAGAAGCTCAGAGGACTTCATGGAAGAAATTCTGGTGAATTGAGCAGAGGATATTAGTGACACAGAAGAGAAGCATATGAGAAGGCAGCAGAGAATGTAAATGCAATGCATTCTTGGGCAAGTGCAGCACTTCTAATACTTGCTGCAAACAGTAATTTTAGCAAAGCACTAAACACGGGACTGGAGGGATGTCTCAGCAGTTAAGCGTGCTTGCTGCTCTTGCAGAAGACCTGGGTGCAGTTCCCAGCACCCCGCAACCAGGTGTGATTTCAGTTCCAGAGGATCCAACCCATTCTTCTGGTCTTCATGGGTCCCAAGCACACACATGGCATGCCTGTGTTCATGAAAGCAAACACATAAACTAAAAATAAATGTTTAAAATTAAATTCAATGTATCACTTACTTTGTTTTCTGCATGCTCACACAGTAATACATTTGTTTTGCAGATAAGTTTATAAGCCAGGATATTCCATTATTGAAAAACCAGAAAATTTATTATTTTCTCCAGGAGAAAGCATAATATAAATATTAACCCTGCCCTATTATGATTTCTTCATTGCTCTCATAGATGAAATTGCAGATTCATGACATCATTCATGATCTTTCTTGCAGCCTCCATCTTCCTTGTTCCTTTTTTGTTAGCAAACCATTCCTCACTCCAGGGTCCAGCTTAATTCCCTTATTGAGCATTCGTGTATATTGTGTACACTGGTGGAATGATTAAAAGGTGCACAGAAATGTCACATGGACAGGGTTGAGAGTCCAGTGACACCACACACCAAACTTCAGTCATAGAACAATTGCTGAGGTCTTGCAACTTGGTTTCTTGGTCTCTGGAAAAGCATCATGGCTCATGGCTCACTTCCTATAAGGAAGCAGGTGATCAAGAAAATGCTGCTGTTCTGGTTGTGACTTCTTCATATTTGGGATTTATCAAGCACCTGTTCATACTGCTCCACATTGTACTCTGGGTTCTGATTTTCCCAAGAGTCTGATTTTTCTCCCAAAAAGTCTTTGTTGGTAAGCACGGCACTTGTGCTGTAGATATCACCATGCCAACCTTAGATATCCCTGCGATGCTGACTTCTAGCTACATGTCTTTTACTTTGAGGGTCTTGAAACATGATCCAGTGGGTGAGAGCACTTGCACTGTGACCATGGGGACCTCAGTTTTGGTACTCCACAAGCATAGAAAAATCTTGCATAACTAAGAGTCCTTTTGACATCAAAACTGTTAGCTAGTTAGGCCAACCAAAATGGACAGCTCTTGGGTCAGTAACAGATACTGACTACAGTTGTTTGAAAGAAAATGGCCCCCAGAGGGAGTGCTAGAAAGTGTGGCCTTGCTGGGCTCGTGTGGCCTTATCGGAGGAACTGTGTCACTGTGAAAGTGGACTTTGCAGTCTTTTGCTTAAACTTCACTCAGTGACACAGTCGACTTCCTGCTGCCTACTAGATGCAGGACTCTTCGCTACTCCTTCAGCATGTCTGACTGCATGCCATCCTGATGATAATGGCTGAACCTCTGAAAGTGTAAGTGAACTCCCTCAAATAAATGTTTTCCTAATAAGAGTTGCTGTAGTCATACTGTCTCTTCAAAGCCATAGAAACCCTCACTAAGATAGTGTATCACACTAATAAGGCAAAGAATAGTAAAGGAAGACACTAACCATCATCCTGTCATTTGTATGCATACCCACACACTGGTGTGCATGCAACACATACATGTGCTCAAACACGCGCACACACACACACACATGCAACACACACATTTGCACCCCCACACAAAAACATTAACACAGAGACACACATGCCATATACACGTATGCACACATGTAGCAACACACAGCATATACACATGCACCCATGAATGCATACACACACATGCATACACATGCACCTCATACATGTGTACATGTCATGTGTGCACAAGCACCACACACACGCAAACACATGTACACAAATGCATATATGTGTTTACATACACACATACACCCATGCATACACTCACCAGCACACAGGAATACACATGCTGCACACAAACACACAACAGATATGTGCACAAATATACACTGCACGTACACACAAATACATCACAAACATACACACATGAGCACACATTGGCATGCATGCACAGCTTTTCTACTCTCCTCCCATCGTCATGGTTAGTTCTCTGTCCAAAACCACCTAGAATTTTCCCCCTAGACTTTGCATCTCCTAACCACCTACAAGTCGCCTTTCAGATTTCTTCCTCTTCTGACCTCTGATAACACTGCTAACTACTCTTTGAAAGCTCACTCTTTGCCAGCCTGGTCTACAGAGTGAGTGCCAGGACAGCCTCCAAAACAATACAGAGAAACCCTGTCTCAGGGGGGAAAAAAAGGAGGATGTGGTGCAGAGTAGGGGAAAAATGGCAGCAGAAGTAACCACGAGCATGCCAGCAGGAGAATGTCCATAAAGCAGAGGAAGGGGAACACTGGTACCCAATTGGTTTTTTCTTTTTTTCCCCTTTTGCTCCATTTATGCAGTGTTAGATGCCAGCCCATAAAATAGTGTCACTCACATTCACAGTGGGTCTTTGCCCCTTAGTTGAAGCTCTCTGGAAATGTCCTCACAGATGGTGGTGGCTTGAAAAGCGAATGGTCCCCACCATCAGGGAGTGTGCCTTCATTGAAATAGGTGCAGCCTTGTTGTGTGTCACTGTTGAAGGAGGTGCAGCCTTGGTGGAAGAAGCCTGTCACTGTGGGAGTGGGCTTTGAGGTCTCCTGTGCTCAAACTAGGCTCAAGGTGACCGAGCCACTTCTGCTGCCTGTAAATCAAGATGTAGAATGGTCAATTGCTTACCCAGCACATACATCCCTTCAAGCCACTGTGCCACCCACTGTGATGACAACGGAGTAAATCTCTGAACTGTAAGCCACCAACAGAAAGTTTTCCTATTGTAAAGAGAAGCTTTTTCTTTGCTAGCCGCTTTGGTATATCCCCTGCCAGCTGCCTGGGTTCTGCCGCTTTGTAGTCCCCAAATAATCACACAAGACGCTGTATTAATTATGAAGCTGTTGGCCTTGCTTGTCTCTTACTGGCTAGCTCTGACTTAAGTAATTACCCCATAATTGTTAATCTAAGTATGTTTCTTACTGGAGAATAGTTCTGGCCTTCCTACCCGCATCGCGTTACATGTTGACTCTCTTGTGTTTCTCCTTCCCAGAATCCTCCTGGACTCCTAGCCCCACCTATCTAGATTCCTATTGGCCAGACAATCTTTATTGACAAATGCACAGGACTTCCCCAACAACTCTTCTTTTCTGTTTAAACAAAAAGAAAGGTCTTAACTTTAACAGTCAAATTGTATATAACAGAACAGTTATCAAGTAAGAACATAGTTACAATATTTTAGCAAGATTTAAAGAAAATATCATCCATCTCATCCTTGTGAGTCCAAAGTTCTATATGTAGTTTATCTCTTATCATAACTAAGGAAAACTATAACTGTCTTCAACTCCATCAAAGACCACAGAAGGATAATATATAAACACTAAGATTGACAGAGGTATCTGTCTGGACAGTCACCCGAAGTTCCTCTGTAACGTTGGGGCATCCATCTTCAGCCCATAGGCCACAATGTGTCTGGAACACTTCTCAGCAAAGCAGGAAATTTCAAACTGTCCATCTGCATTGGCAGTCTGTCAGTCATTTTTCTGTGTCCTGCAGAATGTCCCGTAGACTCTTCCATGAAGCAGGAACCCTGTAAGACTGAGTTCAGTAGTCACTTTCCTGTGGGTCCTGCATGTCCAGTTTATACAGCAACAGTCAGTCTAGGCAAGAGCAGTTTTTTGCCCAAATAGCTAAACTTGCCATGTTGAAAGCAAACTCCATAATAAGTTTCTTCGATGCCCATCTTCCTCTCATACATAATTGGTGCTGCCCGGAGCAGACATTTCTCATTGTCAAGAAAAACCCTAAACCATTTTAAATGCCATTTTCTGAAGGTCTTTGAGAGGTTTGAAGACTGTTTATCTATCTCAAATATATTTCTGTATATCTAGAAAATCTAACTTACCTAAGTATAAATTCTGACTATTATAAGTAACTATCTATAGTCTGTATTCAATTATGCATTATGTTTTAAAAGATCAGTATAAGCACAATACTTAATCAAGAGGAGAAATATACACATCACAAAATTGACCTTGAATTTGTATCAATAAATGAAAAACAATACCCATACCCTAATTTCCCTTTTTACCATTAAAAAGAGATTGATTGTGATCATTAACCAATTATAAACAATCCCATTTAAGTGAAACCAAAGATTTATAAACAAGATGGGAATTAGGACGTCGCTCATTCCAAACTGCTTCCTGCTGGAAGGGGGCACTGTTCATACCATGGGGATCATGACAAAACTCAGAAACCTGTATCAGTCCTTATTTTCGTGGTCTGTAAAGCTCCATCATCTTAGCTGTTTCAGTTTTTGGAACACCTGGTCCACTGCTTCCGGGGGTCTTGGTTCGTGAAACCACAGAAGCCTGGAAGGAATCTTTAGCTTTTCATTTTCTGTAGAAACATAAATAAAAACTCCTTTTCCGAGTAACATATCCTTATGCTTAAAATTTGAAGTCAAGGTATTTTCAAAAGATATAAGTTGAATTAATTCAGCAGCATTTATAATCAAGTGTACTTTAGTAGCAGTTCCTTCCTGAGCAAGCAAAAAACTGAAAAACACAATAGCATACAGTATCCAGACTCTCTGTGTATTTTCCATCTTTACGTGGCTTATTTATTTATGTATTATTACTTTATTTATTTTACTTTTATTTATTTTTCTCTGAGACAGGGTTTCTCTTTGGAAATCCACCTGCCTCTGCCTCTGAGGTAAATCTTACCGGCGTGTGCCACCACAATGCTGGCTTTTCTATTTATTTACCACTTTGTCGTTTCATTTTCTCTCTCAATCTCATGTATATTTTTAAACACACTGTAAACCTTTAGATATTTTCTTCATCCAAGTCTGACTTTACTGTAAATCTTTATGTTTTTCTGGCCACGTGTCTTATCTGTAAAACCGCGGCTATTTTAAACTGCCGGTTTTCAAGATGGCGGACGTAAGCGTGATTCCAGCTTACTGCCTCAGTCCATGCTGACATCCAGCAAAAGCTGCCACTTCCAGCTTTACGTACACACCTTTTAATCATTAGCAGAGTCTCTTAAAACAACCTTGCTTTTTTTTTTTTCTTTTTATGCCGAGTCAGGAAGACTCCGGTAAGCCAGCCACGTGAATCTCCGCTTGTCGATAGCAAAACAGAGCCCACCTGAGAAAATGCTGCTACCAAAATCTGTGCTTCTCTCTGTTCTTCTGTTTCTAAAATTCCTTTAAAGCTTTTGTTGTTTTGCGTGGAAATTCAGTCCCACTCCTGACAACCATTCTGTAAAGAGAAGCTTTTTCTTTGCTAGCCGCTTTGGTACATCCCCTGCCAGCCGCCTGGGTTCTGCCGCTTTGTAGTCCCCAAATAATCACACAAGACGCTGTATTAATTATGAAGCTGTTGGCCTTGCTTGTCTCTTACTGGCTAGCTCTGACTTAAGTAATTACCCCATAATTGTTAATCTAAGTATGTTTCATACTGGAGAATAGTTCTGGCCTTCCTACCCGCATCGCGTTACATGTTGACTCTCTTGTGTTTCTCCTTCCCAGAATCCTCCTGGACTCCTAGCCCCACCTATCTAGATTCCTATTGGCCAGACAGTCTTTATTGACAAATGCACAGGACTTCCCCAACATCCTATACAAGAGTTGCCTTGGACATGGAGTCTCTTCACAGCAATAGGTACCCTAACTATAACTCAGATACACTGAGAGCATCTAGGGGATTTTAAAAACAGTCATGTTGTCAATGCAGAGAATCTATCATCTGAGTGCCATCAGTGCCCTTTGAGTTACCTTACTGAAATCTGGATTTATGTATAATCATGTTTACTAAGAGTGTATCATGGATTGTTTTTTGCAAGGCAAAATTTTTCTGTGTCAAAAATGTCAAAAAAAATAACATTTTTAAGCTAAGAAGGCCAGACAGACCTTGGTCATAATGCATATTGACCAGAGTTTATCAAGTAATTATTGTCAAGCTCATGTGGAAATGTATGTAAGGCAGAATAGTTAGTATCATTTAACCAAAGAAAGAAAAATGAAGCATTTAAGGATAAGAATAGTGAGAAATTGAAACTATGTCATTCTTTCTAAGCTGAACATTGCTTGATTCTTTGTTCATACGGTTACGACTTTTAATTTTCTGGATTGCAGGGGCACTAATCTAAGAAAGAAATCACCATAAATAATATATTTTGAAGTGGTCCTTCTTTCATTCAGACTCATAAAGAAAGATGGGGAAATTGGGGCTTTTCGTTTTAATGCTATTAACTTCAAAGTTGTGCATTGAAAATTAAACTCAAGAAAGTCACCTTGAGTGCACATTTATGCTGTGCCATGTGCCCTGTAAATTTCTCCGCCTTTTAGGTAAGCAACAGTGTTCTCTTCTTATTAGAGAGATGGGAGGGCATTTTTCCCAAGGCCACACCACTCATGAGCAGAAAACCACCAATGAGATTCAAACTTGGCCCTGGATGACCCTAAAGCCTGCAGTTTTGGTTGTAGTTTCTAAAGAGTGTATGGATGACTAAGTTAAAACCATGTATTTCTAGAGTTTATGTTACTGTAGTCAGACCAATAAATGCTTACAAGCTTTTGTGACCAATTTGTTTCCCTAAGCAGATTAAATATGTTGACTGCCAATACTACTTACACTATTCATTACCCAGAATAGATTAACCAATTACAGCTAACTTATAACTAATTTAAACAATTAATACACTTTATTGGATTGCATTGAAAGGGTTTCTCTCTTGTAGGAGATGATGTAAAGGTTAACTTTAGGCTGCTTCAAGTCTAATTATAATAAATTATAAGAAATACAGGGTTAGTCAGATACCTAATGAGGAGTTCCCAGTACTTCGACTAGGGCATCAACCTACCAGGTCCTAACATATATCCAATGTCTATACACAAAGCAGGGAAATACAAAGGAGCATTGTTGGAAGTCAAGAGTTGTTAGTAGCTACACAAAGACACTAATGCCTTCTCACCAGAGTGGCTCCATCAATTATACTTCCTCTATATAGTGGGATATTTTGCAGCCATCACACACTGAGATAGCTCAGTGGTTAAGAACATGGTCTGTTCTTCTAGAGGAGGTTAAATTCCTAGCAACCACATAGTGCTTAACAACTGTTTGTGACTCCAGTCCTAGGGGATGCAATATGCTTTTCTGGCCTCCTCAGGCATTGTGTGTGCATGGTACACAGACATACTTGCAGGTAAAACACCCATACACATAAGTTTCAAAAATAAATAAAATCTCAAAAATACTATAAACATTTGCTTGCATGTGTGCATATGAATGTACATGTGTGGAGAACAGAGAAGACTTGTATCCATTTCTCTTCTTCCATTATGTGAGTTCATAGAATTGAATGCCAATGTATTTGGCAGCAAGTGCTTTAATTACTGAGCTTTCTCGCAGGCTCTGAGATCTATAATTTTTGCCTCCTTGCCTGGCTCCTACATTTCCCCCAAAGAGGAGACTTTGCTTTTCTTTCTAGTCTTCTCCAACCCCAGAGAGACCCCATCTAAACTCACGGCATTTAGCACCATCAAACACTTAAAAATCTTCTAATGGCTATCTCTGGTTTCTCTTTCCCTCTGCACTTGCCTATTCAACAGTTGGCTTGATTGACATTTTTACTCAAAATTTGAGAAATACTGCACACTGGTCCACTTTTGAGTTGTTGATTTTAGCACCTTCCTACCTCCCTTCCACTTCCCAATCAGTTTCTTCTTAAGCCTTCTAATGTCTTCCAGCCAGGTCTCCCATCACTTAGTTTTTAAGCACATGGACTCAACTATTTTATAGTATCTTTTAAAATTATGATGCAGTTGTATCATTTCTTCCCTTCCTTGCTTCCTTGTAGACCTCCCACACATTCTCACGTTTTTGTTCCCTCCTTATATTCCACGTGGAATCCTTTAGGAAATACTATCTCTCAGCCCTGATAATGTAAGTAGAAACTGACCTTCCAAGCCCTGAGCTGTTCATGCTATTGTCTAACCTGAACTGCTATCTCTTGTCTATATACTTTTCTGAGACTGCTCTTGTGCTTGTCCATTCCAGCCCATGCCCTGCTCCCCCCCCCCCCGCATTCTGTTCTCAACAGGGAAAAGCAAACATTTGCTGCCTTCTGTCTCATCAGATCAAATCCCACATTATGCTGGGAGACCATAACATTCTAGGTGAGCATGCGCGTGCGCGAGCACACACACACACACACACACACACACACACACCATATAAGTCTGTTCTTATATCTTTTCTGTCTCTCTAGCTACTTTTACTAAAAATAACTCTGGCCTTCCTAACCCTGTTCATAGTCTTTTACAGCAAGCCTTAGTCTCTGCATCTAAAAACAGTGATGAAAATTATATGAAATGCTTTCTTCCTCAAGTTTCTAAATTACTTTAATCTACAAATAATGAAAGCTAGGGAATCTCAAAGCTAGCAGTGGGACAATATTACAAGCTCTAACCAATGACAAAGAAGAGTCAGAATTTGTGTACTTCATCATTGAGACTGAAAATAAAAATTAGATGCAGGGAGTTATAGTTACAAGGAGAACCACAAAGTTAACAATGGTCTATGAGAGTATCATTTAACCACTTAAATATGCTCATGACTCCAGAAGATAATGACTGACATCAGGGTGCGGTCTTTTTAGATATCAAGGAATAAACCAGAGATACTTGGAGTGCAGCTATTCTGATAGATGGGTAAGGTTAGAAAAACACTTGTATCAGTAGCAAAGTAAAATAAGAAGCATCAGAGTAGAACAGAACAGGATGCAGGGTCCAAAGTCCTTGACTGATGGACCAGTATCAATCAGCAAACCACTCCTCCCAGTGGGAAGGAGTCTCAGAAGTTCAGCAAATGACATCAAGTTGACAAACTGGATTGAATGGAATTAAAAAACAAAGACAGCAATTGAATAAAGTGAGATTTCACACAGCAGGAGACAATCTCTTCCTGTACACATCTGACAGAGGGTTAACATCTCAAATACATAAAGAACTCAAAAACTAAACATCCAATCTGTAAGTGTAAGGAATGCACAGCTCTCAAATGGTGAGATAAACATGGTGAATAAGTATATGAAAAAATACTCAACATTCTTAGCCATCAGGGAATCCCAAATTCAACTACAGTGAGACTTCATCTCACTCCATCATCAAACAGCCCTCATTAAGAGAATAACTATGGGGGCTAGATAGATTTCTCAGTTAAGAGGATGGGCTGCTCCTGCACTCTTGCATAGGACATGAGTTCACTTCTCAGCACCTACAGGGTAGCTCACAACCACCATAACTCCATTTCCAGGGAATCTGAGGCTGGCTTCTGACCTCCGTGGGCACTTCATACAAGAGATGTATATACATACATGCAGGCAAGAGACACATACACCTGATACAAAATAAATTAATCTAGTTTAAAACCATTTCACAGGAAAAAATTCTGACAAGGATGTGGAGAGAAGGGAGCTCTTATACTTCTGGTAGAAATACAAAGTGGTGTAACCACCATAGAAGTCAGCGTGGAGATTGTTCACAAACTAAAAGTGGAATTATGGTATAGACCAGGTCTCACAACTTCTTGGTGTATTTCTAAAACACTGGAATTGAACACACCACAGAGATACATGCATATCTATGTTCACTGCTGCATTATTCAGGGTAATCAAGTTATGTAGCCATCATGGGTATCTATCTATCAACAGATGAATATATACAGAAAACGTAGTCTATATGCACAATGAAGCTTTGTTTTTCCACAGTGAAAAATAAAATTATGCCATTTTCTGGAAACTTGATTCCACTGAAGATATCTCATTAAGTGATATAAACCAGACACAGGAAGATAAATAATTCATGTTTCCTTTATCTATGGGTCATGGAATTTTCTATAGCTAAGTAATAGCATATGTAGATACAGATGGTATAGACATGGGTATAGATGTGTGAATGAGAATAAATCAGAAGAGCCTGGGAGAAGAAAGAAGATTAACAAGAGGTCTAAGGATGACTGGACACTAAGGGAAGAAAATGGAACCATGTGAATATGGTTAAAAGATATCATAATTTGAAGGTGAGTGGGGCCTTGATCTGATCCCCAACTCCATACATCTCCTGGCTCTGTCTCTCTGGGTGTTTTCTGCACCTAGAGAGGACCTGCCCCACCTGGAAGGATCACCCTGAGTCTGCCCACACCTCAGTCTTCAGTGCCTTCCGGTCCTTTCCCTGTGCTTAAGTCTTCAGTCCCTTCTGGTCCTTGCCCAGTGCTTATGGAGAGGAAGAGGCAACACAAGCTCCCACTGAAAAAAAGATGGGAAGAAGGTAATATAAAAACACAGCCAATAACAGAAGAACCAATATGACATCACCAGAGTCTAGAAACTCTACACAAGCAAGACCGGAACATACGAACACAGATGAAACAGAAAAGAATGGCTTTCAAAACAACCTCCTTAAAGTGATAGAGGCCCTCAAAGAGGATATGAGAAAATCCCTTAAGGATAGGGAAGAAAACACAAACAAAAAATGCAAGAAATCAACAAATCTCTTAAAGAAAACAAGGAAAGCAAGAAAGAAAAAACAAACAAAAAAACCAAAACCAAAACCAACAACAACAACAAAAAAACAATCAAACAGATGAAGGAAACAATTCAAGAAATGAAAGCCGAAAAGGAGACAATAAGAAAAACACAAACTGAGGTAATTCTGGAAATAGAAAGGCTGAATAAATAATCAGGAACTACAGATGCAAGCATAACTAACAGAATACAAGAGATGGAAGACAGAATCTCATACACTGAAGATAAACGAGAGGAAATAGATTCATCAACAAAAGAAAGTCTTAAGTCCAACAAATCCTTAATACAAAATATCCAGGAAATGTGGGACACCATGAAAAGACCAAAACTAAGAATAATAGGTATAGAAAAAGGCAAAGAAGCCCAGCTCAATGGTGCAGAAAACATATTCAACAAAACCATAGAAGAAAACTTTCCCAACCTGAAGAAGGAGATGCCTATGAAACTACAAGAAGCTTACCTAACACCAAATAGACTGGACCAAAAAAAAGTCCCCTTCTCCACATAATAATCAAAACACCAAACATACAGAATAAAGAATGAATATTAAAAGCAGCAAAGGAAAAAGGCCAAGTAACTTATAAAGGCAAACCTATCAGAATTACACCCGACTTCTCCATGGAAACTATGGAATCCAGAAGGTCCTGGATAGATGTTCTACAAACACTAAGAGACCACAGATTCCAGCCCAGACTACTATTCCCAGCAAAACTCTCAATCACTATAGATGGAGAAAAGAAGATATTCCACGACAAAATCAGATTTATGTAATACATATCCACAAATCCAGCCCTATAGAAAGTTCTAGAAGGAAAACTCCTAACCAAGGAAGTTAACTACACTCAAAATAACATGGGCAATAGATAATCTAACTTTACCAGAAGTCAGAAATAGGAGAAAAGCTCACACACAAAACCACCACCACAGACAGATCCAAAGCAAACAAGAACCAACAATCAATGGTCATTAATATCCCTGAGTATCAACAGTCTTAACTCACCTATAAAAAGACACAGGCTAACAGAATGGATACGAAGACAGAATCCATCCTTCTGCTGCATACATGAAACACACCTCAATTTCAAAGACAGATGCTACCTCAAGGTTAAGGGTTGGGAAAAGACAAGGATGTCCACTCTCTCCATATCTCTTCAATATTGACTTGAGATTCTAGGTGGAACAATAAGACAACCAAAGGAGATCGAGGGGTTACAAATTGGAAAGGAAGAAGTCAAACTTTCACTATTTGCAGACGATATGATAGTCTATGTAAGCAATCCAAAGAATTCTACCAGAAAACTCCTACAGCTGATAAACACCTTCAGCAAAGTGGCAGGATACAAAATTAACTCAAAAAAATCAGTAGCCCTACTATATATAGACAATAAAGGGGATAAGAAAGAAATCAGAGAAACATCACCCTTTACAATAGCCACTAACACCATAAAATATCTTGGGGTAACTCTAACCAAACAGGTGAAAGACCTGTATAACAAGAACTTTGAGTCTTTAAAGAAAGAAATTAAAGAAGATACCAGAAAATGGAAAGATCTCCCATGCTCTTGGATAGGTAGGATCAACATAGTAAAAATGGCAATCTTACCAAAAGCAATCTACAGATTCAATACAATCCCTATCAAAATACCAGCACAATTTTTCACCGACCTCGAAAGGACAATCCTCAACTTATATGGAAAAACAAAAGACCCAGAATAGCCAAGGCAACCCTGTACAATAAAGGAACTTCAGGAGGCATCACCATCTCTGACTTCAAGTTCTATTATAGAGCTATAGTCCTGAAAACAGCTTGGTATAGGCACAAAAACAGACAGGTAGACCAATGGAATTGAATTGAAGACCCTGATATCAACCCACACAACTTCGAACACCTGATCTTTGACAAAGAAGCTAAAACTATACAATGGAAGAAAGTAAGCATCTTCAATAAATGGTGCTGAAGTAAATGGATGCTGGCATGAAAAAGACAGCAGATAGATCCATATTTATCACCATGCACAAAACTTATGTCCAAATGGATCAAAGACCCCAACATCAATCCAGCCACATTGGATCTCTTAAAGGAGAAAGTGGGAAGTACCCTTGAAAGAATTGGTACAGGAGACCACTTCCTGAACATAACAGCAGTAGCACAGACACTGAAATGGACAATTAATTAATGGAACAATTAATAACTGAGGAGCTTCTGCAGCGCAAAGGACACAGCCAACAAGATAAAATGACAGCCCACAGAATGTGAAAAGATATTCACAAACCCCACATCTGAAAGAGGGCTGATCTCCAAAATTTACAAAGAACTCAAGAAGCAAGTCTCCAAAACACCAAAGGATCCAGTTAAAAAGTGGGGTACAGAACTAAATAGACAATTCTCAATTCAGGGGTCCAAAATGGCCAAGAGACACCTGAGAATGTGCTCAACATACTTAGCCATTAGGGTAATGCAAATAAAAACAACTCTGAGATACCATCTCACTCCTGTCAGAATGGCTAAAATCAAAAGCACTAGTGACAGTTTATGCTGGAGAAGATGTGGAGAAAGGGGTACACTACTCCACTGCTGGTGGGAATGCCACCTTGTGCAGCCACTTTGGAGATTGGTATGGAAATTCCTCAGGAAAATGGATATCAGTCTACCACAAGATCCAGCAATTCTACTCTTAGGCATATACCCAGAAGATGTATCCTCATACAATAAGGACATCTGTTCAACTATGTTCATAGCAGCATTATTTGTAATAGCCAGAACCTGGAAGCAACCTACATGCCCCTCAACCGAAGAGTGGATAGAGAAAATGTGGTGCATTTACACAATGGAGTACTACTCAGCAGAAAAAAATGGAATATTGAAATTTGCAGGCAAATGGATGGCACTGGAAGAAATCATCCTGAGTTAGGTAACCCAGTCACAAAAAGACGAGTATGTTATGTACTCATTCATACATGGATTTTAGACACAGAGCAGGGCACTGCCAGCCCACAATCCCACCCTTCGATCCTCCCTGCACCCCAGAGAGTCTATAGATGGAGAAAAGAAGATATGGGATGAGATCTCCTAATTGGATTGGGGGTAGGGAAAGGGGAGGGCAGAAGGAGATGGGAGAAAGAGAGGAAGAACAGAGGAGGGGAGAGGAGGACATGGGAGAGCAGGAAGGTTGAGCCAGGATAAGAATAGAGGAGAAAAGCATGGGAGATGCCATAAAAGAGGGAGCCATTATAAGTAAGAGGAGAGATCTGGCACTAGTGAGATCTTCACAGATCTACAAGAATGACACCAACTGGCATTAAGGCTACCTTCAATACCCTCCCATGATAATGAGAATGATGACTACCTTATAAGCCATCCTAGAACTCTCACCTACTGGTTGAGGAGGCAGAGGTAGACACCTACAACTGTGAACCGAATTGAACTCCTGGAACCCAGTTGCAAAGAGAAGTGATGACCAAAGGAATCAAGATCAGGCTAGTAAAACCCACAGAAACAGCTGACCTAAACAAGGGGGAACACATGGACCCCAGACTGATGACTGAGGGGCCAGCACGGGACTGATCCAGACATCCCTCTCACCAAATCTGGGTGACAGAAAGGAGGCCTTGGCAATCTGTGGAACCTTGGAGAGTAGAGCAGTATTTATTCCTGGCATGCAGATTGACTCTGGGAACCCATAGCATGTGGAGGGATTTTCTCTCAGCCTGGACACATGGGGAAGAACCTAGGCCCTTCCTGGGATGATGTGACAGACTCTGAAAATCTCTCATGGAAGCCCTTGCCCTCCCTGAAGAGCAGAGGGGGGTGAGGGGTCGGGAGGATTGGGGGGTGGGGAAGGAGGGGAGGGAGAGGGAACTGAGAGTGACATGTGTGAAAAGTTAAATAAAAAATATGAAAAAATAAAAAAGATACCATAATTTAAGGAGAGGTCTTTATAAACGCAACACTGTCTACAATGAACACACACCAAAAATAAATAAATAAATATTGTGGACATAACTGCTATACTTGAAATACAAAAGGAAATATTTATTGAAATGCTAAAAGTATACACAAAAATAGCTTTATACTTGTGCTGTTACAATGAATATAATGAAAAAATAAGCAGGAGGGAAAAAGATGGAAAATAATCAGCATGGTGAAATAATTGCAGTAAACTTATAAGATTGGAAATGACTTGTTTTCCACTTAAGTAATTGTCAAACATCCTTAGCTGTCAGAGAAATGCAAATCAAAATGACTCTTAGATACCATCTTACACCTGTCTGAATGGCTAAGATAAAAAATACTGATAACAGCTTATGTTACAGAGGATGTGGAAAAGGGGGAACACTCCCCCACTGCTGGTAGGAGTATAAGTTTGTACACCCACTTTGGAAATCAATATTGCAGTTTCTCAGAAAATTGGGAATCAATCTACCTCAAGACCCAGCAACACCACTTTTGTGCATATACCCAAAGGACACACACCACAAGGACATTTGCTCAACCATGTTCACAGCAACATTATTCATAATAGCCAGAACCTGGAAACAACCTAGATGGCCCTCAACTGAAGAATGGATAAAGATAATGTGGTACATTTACACAATAGAGTACTACTCAGCTGTAAAAAACAATGACTTCATAAAATATGCAGGCAAATGGATAAAACTGTAAAAAAATCATTAATCATTATGAGTGAGGAAACCCAGACCCAGAAAGACAAACATGATATATACTCACTCATAATTGGATATTATAA